GGACGGCTGTCAGTACTCAAACTTCTCATCCAGAAAATCCGAGTATTAGCGGTTTTCACTGACTTTGTGTAGACAGCAAATACAGAACACTTGAAGTTTGTATTCAGCATTGGGTTACTCGCATTGCTCCTCAGCCCTCAGGAGAAGGCAAATCTCCCCCTGGTGATCTAAGTTACTCAAAGACCTCTTCTGTTTATCCGGGCAAAGAGCATCACATATAGCAGTGTGTTTTCAGCTCTAGTGCTGAACTCACCCACCTGTTCCTCCTCCATTTCCTTGATAGAATTAAATGTTCTCATGTTACTTTTATTTATATACGTGAAATTTACTAGTGTGTAAATTTATTACATGAAATTTACTAGCCAAGAAGGAAGGGCCTGACTTTTGTCTTGCTCTAAGAGCTTGTCTATAAATTCACCAATGAAGTCCCCAAAGCATTTATATTTGTTACATGACCAGATCATGTGCAAGGGTATCAGCCTGGGGCTAGAACATTCCAGACAGGCAGGTGGCTCCCATCCCATGTGCTTAAGCTATTTATATGTCATGTATGCTATGTTTCAGAAAGCACTGACGGCATTAGAGGAGGGTTTTGCATTTTGCACCCGCATGACCCTTTGCATCTTGAAAATCTTTTTCTGAAGAAAAAGTCTGCTTAGAATTGAATAGCAAAGGACCTGAGGAAGGACGTCTGGATTTGTCCTGTCATGAGTAACATGTAGCAAGTAAGCTGGAGAACTGTGGGCTCGGCAAAACTACCATTAAGTGGATACAAACTGGTTAAACAACTGCAAACTAAGAGTAACTATGATAGGAATGATGCAGGATTGGAGGGCGGTCTCAAGTGGGGTTCCACAGGGATCTGTTCTGGGTCTGGTGTTATTTATCGTCTTTATTAATGATCTGGATGTAGGTATAGAGAGCAGACTGATCAGATGTGCAGATGACACAAAGCTTGGGGGGTTGCCAACACTTTGGAGGATAGAGTTAAAATTCAAAGGGATCTTGATAAATTGGAGATCTGGATTACCGACAATGAAATTCAATAAAGACAAATGTAAGGTGCGCCACTTAGGGAAGAAAAACCAAATGCACAAATACAGAACGGGGGATAACTGGCTTGGTAGCAGCTCTGCTGAGAAGGATCTGGGAGTTGTGGTGCATCAAAACCTCAACGTGAGTCAGCAATGCGATGCTGTTGCAAAAAAGGCAACTGCAATTTTAGATTGCATTAACAGAGGCATAACATGTAAATCACGGGAGGGGATAGTATCGCTCTACTCGGCACTGGGTAGGCCACAGCTGGAGAACTGTGTCCAATTTTGGTCACCAGTGTATGGAAAGGATGTAGAGAAATTGGAAAGGATTGAAAGCAAGCAACAAAGGGATGGAATGCAGCCATATGGGCAAAGGCTGAAGGAACTGGGTACGGTTAGTTTGGAACAGCAGAGATTAAGTGGGGACATGATACTGGTCTTCAAATACCCGAAAGGCTGCCATAAAAAAGATGGAGAAAAGTTGTTCTCTCTTGCCACAGAGGGCAGGACAAGGGGCGATGGGTTCAAACTACAGCCCAGCAGATTATGAAAAACTTCCTAACTGTACGGCGACATTCTGATCTCACAGCAGTGTAAATCCAGAGCAGTTTCACTTATGTCAGTGGTGTCATTCCAGAGTGATGCCTATGTAGCAGATCAGCATCTGGCCCTAAACGAGACAGAGCACAGCAAAGGATGACAATAAATAACTGGAGGTATGGGAGACTGAGAATTATAAAAGTGAAACAAGAGTGAAGGTTATTGCTACTTCCTGTTTTATGTGGTTATTTATGTGGAGCCAGATTCTGCCATCTTTCCTCTGAGTAGTCACTGTTGACTTGAGGAATAAGGTCTACTTACATGGTAGAATAGGATACACTATAGGATATACTATAGAATATTCCACATGAAATCTATCCCTTTGTATTTATAAGGAAAGGGGCCAACATTTTCAAAGTTAGGCACTTAAATCCCGATGTAAGCACCTAGCTAAACGGACCAGATTTTCAGAGCTAAGGAGCAAGCAGCGCTTTGCACCTTTGAAAATCAGGCTTGTTAGATAAGTGCCTAAATATGAAATCAAGTACACCTCTACCCCGATAGAACGCTGTCCTCGGGGGCCAAAAAATCTTACCGTGTTATAGGTGAAACCGCGTTATATCGAACTTGCTTTGATCCACTGGAGTGCGCAGCCCCCCCTCCACCCCCCGGAGCGCTGCTTTACCGCCTTATATCCGAATTTGTGTTATATCGGGTCGCGTTATATCGGGGTAGAGGTGTATCTAATTTTAGGCACCCAAATTTGACAAGTTTTGGCCAATGTCCAGGATGAAGCTAGGTTGGAAATGCTTATTTTGTAGTGGGTAGGAATAGGGGGTATCCCTTTAAATCGTTTGTGAGCCCTCTGGGGTGCTCAGCATGTCCTGTGTTTTAGGGTACAGCTACTGTGGAGCTGGAGGTGTAATTTCCGGCTCCAGCAGACCTATCTGTGCTAGCTCTGATTGCTCTGAGCACTAAAAATAGAAGCGTAGCTACAGCAATGGTAGCCACCCAAATATGATCCCATCTGAGACCCTAGGTACGTCCTCAGGCAGCTAGCCTTTCCGTGGCGGTGGTTACACTTCTGTTTTTAGCTTGATCAGAGCTAAAGTGGGTATGTCTCCTCGAACTGGAAACGACACTTTCTAGCTCCAGTATAGACGTACATTGTCTATAGAAACCAGTCAGAGCAATAGTCTGTCTATGTAGCTACAAAAAGAACAGGAGTCCTTGTGGCACCTTAGAGACTAACCAATTTATTTGAGCATAAGCTTTCGTGGGCTACAGCCCACTTCATCAGATGCATTGAATGGAACATATAGTGAGGAGATGTAAATACATACAGAGAACATGAAAAGATGGGAGTTGCCCAACCAACTCTAAGAGGGTAATTAATTTAGATGAGCTATTATCAGCAGGACAAAAAAAAGCTTTTGTAGTGATAATCAAGATGGCCCATTTCAGACAGTTGACAAGAAGGTGTGAGGACACTTAACATGGGGAAATAGATTCAATGTGTGTAATGACCCAGCCACTCCCAGTCTCTATTCAAGCCCAAGTTAATGGTATCTAGTTTGCAAATTAATTCTAGTTCAGCAGTTTCTCGTTGGAGCCTGTTTTTGAAGCTTTTCTGTTGCAAAATTGCCACCTTTAAGTCTGTTACTGAGTGACCAGAGAGGTTGAAGTGTTCTCCTACTGTTTTTTGAATGTTATGATTCCTGATGTCAGATGTAAGTATCCTCACACCTTCTTGTCAACTGTCTGGAATGGGCCATATTGATTATCACTACAAAAGTTTTTTTTCTCCTGCTGATAGCTCATCTAAATTAATTAGCCTCTTAGAGTTGGTATGGCAACTTCCACCTTTTCATGTTCTCTGTATGTATATATATCTTCTTACTATATGTTCCATTCAATGCATCTGATGAAGTGGGCTGTAGCCCACGAAAGCTTATGCTCAAATAAATTTGTTAGTCTCTAAGGTGCCACAAGGACTCCTGTTCTTTTTGTGGATACAGACTAACACAGCTGCTACTCTGAAACCTGTCTATATGTAGCTAGGCTCACATGTTTGTGTACATTTTGTAAACCCAGTTATTTGGAACCCTCTCTGCCTTGGTAGTGTCTACCTATTATTTTGTTGTGCAAAGAGCAATAGACACAACGGTTATTTATCTGGAACACGGTATGGCTGTCCCTGAAGAAAAGGGCAGCATCTGAAAATTGGCTGCAAAACCTTTGACATAATCCCGCTAGTCATGACTATGGAAGTTTCCTTCCATCTGTTTAAGTCTGAACTTTAGCTGTGTCTGCTCTTCTCTAGTTTTGGTTCTACGGATAAGACACCTCCGAAGTACAATTTTTATTCCTTAGTACGGTATGTGAAACCGAGACGGATCCACTGACGAGCCCAGCCTTGATCTGAGGGTTATTCAAATTATTTTTATACTCTGAAAATGTTGAAAAAGCTTTTATTGTTTGGATGATCTCTAGTGTGTACGTTTGCTGTGTTTAACAATATATCTGGTGCATGCAGGATTATTTCATGAACAGTGTAGCACAATGCGATTCTCTGAAACGTATTACTGCCACTCCCAGTGAGTCCAATGAAAGCACGAACAGAATGAGGGAAACAGAGGACATACTTTTCCATAGCCCGGGGGAGGATGAAGAGGATCAGAAAGAGACAACAACCCCATCTAATGTGTAACTGAGGAGAATATCCAGACAATACATTCCATTCCCAGCCCATTACAAAGGTTTTTCCTCATGGACTGGGCCACTCCACAGACAAATATTTTTTTCCCGTCTCTAGTCACTCTGGAGGTGTGGAACAACATGAGATCCCACCAAATAGCTAGTGGAGATTTGTGGCTCATGTCTTCTTAGCATGAAACCTGCCTGATATTCATGGATAGTCATGACTATCCCCTTTGCTAACAGAGGAAAATCCTATCCAGCTGCAGCGCTGGCTTGTTGATGGATTGGCAGAATTTTACCTGTTGTTCCCATCCAGTGACTGACTGACCCCTAAATGTCCTCTAATTCTGCCTCACCCACACGGAACACCTGCAATCACCAATGACGTCTAAGACAAATGCCGTACAAGGGTGGTAAGATTAGAATATCCGCGGTGTAAGACTAAATTTGATCGCGGCATGAGAAGTTTAAGCAACTTTATGCCACAGCTCTCAAGGAGACCAAGAGAACCTTTTTCTCTGCAGCCACAGCAGCTGCAAAATGTCAATCAGTGGAAATGTTTAGGATACTGCCCCACTTAAACAATGCAGATTGCCTTCAATCAGTCTCCGATTCAAGGAGACTCCTGCCGCAAAATGCTCTCACCCTACTTGGGGGATGGGGGGAGATAAAAATCTGAGATTGTTTTTCCAGGCCTGAGGAAACAACATCAGACCGGTGGGCTGTGAACATGACATCTACCTTGAGCTTCTGGGATGGAGCCAGGAATAGAAGGCTGTCCACAGAGCCCCAGATGGAACAAGATGCTTCACAAAATTCAGCCCGTTCATTCTCACAGCAGGAAGTTGCTGAAACACAGAAGGAGATCCAAACTACCACAAACTGACCCATGCTCTTCCGGGCTAGTGAAGGCCCTGGTGCTCTGGATTGCCTTTCTACCACAGACAGTCAATGTCTCCTCTTAAGAAACAACCTATTACCCACCCTAAGACATGCAGTAGTCGCAAGGACCATCACTCACCAGCTATCACCCATGATCTAATCTCCATTTCTAAGCAACGTAATTGAGAAAGTGGCAAAGAGCTGGTTCCTTCTGCTTAAGTGGACCCCATCTAATCAAAATAGTCTCACATTACAGAAAGCACTCTGTTGCTTCGTGAATCAAAACAATATTTTTATCTACAATGCTGGCATCTCCATTTGTTGGTCCCCACTATCAATGTTCTCCTTTCTTGCCACCAGAAAGATGTCTTAGCTCATAAGCACTGACCTCATCGTAAGTTCTCTTCACAGGCCTCGGAAGTGATTTCTGATTCCACATCTTCTAATTTTAGTTAGCAATTGCCACCTTTCCTCTCATCTCTAGATTACTGATTCAGTCTACTGCCAGGCTGATAGTGCTGAAGGACTGTTACCAGTTGGTTGGTTGGTGGATCTCAGTGCATTATCTAGCAGATCATTTCTGTGATGTGGACACCTGTGAACACAGATGGGTCTGCTGTTGGCAGTTTCAGTAGAGATGTAGGGATGGAATGGGTGAGAGAGACTGAGCTATTCTCTCAGTTCATACAGTGGTCTTTCCTGGTCACATTTGAAACACATAGATGGGGGAGTGAGGGAAGCTTACACGGTCTATGCTCTACCTGTTCTGTAGTAAATAGGAAGCTTCAGGCTCCAGAACTTCCAATCCAGCATCTTTCATGTCTCAGCCAAAGGTCACATAATTCAGCACCATTCATCAGCACTAAATTCACCTAAACAGTTGTAATAGAATAATTTTTAGGAAGGAAATAAGTTTAGATTATAAACTTCTCAGGGTAGACAAGAAACCTGTCCTGTGTTCCGTACACCATGGAGCATGTTGTGAATTCTCAACAAATACATTAATTTATGGAATTATCTTCCCCAGGGGCTTTTCCTCTAAGTTCCCAAAGAGGAAATTCTAGATTTCAACCCCTTTTTGTTTGTTTCCCTGGTTCTTTTTTTTTCTGCTTTCTTTGTAATTTTATATTCATTGATTTTTGTCTTTGATGCAGTGCGGCGAGCCTGCAAAACTTCAATGCAAGCAGGAACGAACATGCTACTACCCTGGTAGTACCCCAACCTAGACCCCTCAACACAACTAAAACACTGGCAGCTGCTCTAAGATCATTACAATGAATAAAGGTTACAAAAACTACTGTAGCTACCAAAGGAATTTCACAACCCTTTCGTAACTCAATTTTGGTTATGGGTTATTTCTTTCTTTACTTGGTTATTTACTCTTCATGGACCAAGACTCCATGTACTAGGTCAGTAGCTAGACCACCTCAGCCCACTATCTAATTAACTCTCACAAAAAAAGCTGGATCGGGCCTGGTCAGTATTTGAATGTGTTCTTTTTTTTAAAAAGTCAGGTACTACATGACATGGAAGTTGTAAACATGCTCTTCCTTCTAAGAGTATTAAACGACGTGGCATCAGGGCCATCGTCATGCAAAGCCGAATTCCCGAACACTCATGCTAAAGGTCAGACTAGACTTTTCACAAGAGGAGGTTTGTTAGCCTCATAGACTGGGCAAAATATGAGCATGTATAATTACATTTTACTTTTCTCCATTCCCACTGCAAGTTCAATTGGACATTCGAGTCTTCTTTCAATTGTTGTGCAGCATTGCAATGCATTGTTAAACAGCCGCCACCTTTAATGTCAGAGGTGGTTCCATTTTAGTGGCGGGTGAAGTGATATTGCTGTGTGTATAATCTCTAAAGCAGTGGTTTTCAAACTGTTGGTCGCGACCCAGTACTGGGTCGGGAATGTAAGACACTGGATCGCAGCGGCTCTGGTCAGCATTGCTGATCGGGCCGTTAAAAGTCCTGTTGGCAGTGCTGCCCGGCTAAGGCAGGCTAGTCCCCACCTGTTCTGACACCGTGCTGCGCCCCGGAAATGGCCAGCAGCAGGTGTGGCTCCTAGGCGGGGGGGTCACGGGGCCCCACACGCTGCCACCGCCCTGAGCACCGGCTCTGCACTCCCATTGGCCAGGAACCGGCCAATGGGAGCTGGGGGGGGGAGGGCAAGTGTCTGCAGGCAAGAGCCACACAGAGCCGCTTGCGCGCTGCCATCTAGGAGCCGGACCTGCTGCTGGCCGCTTCTGTGGTGCAGCGCAGTCTGCAGTGCTAGGACAGGCAGGAAGCCTGCCTTAGCACCCCCGCTGCACTGTTGATTGGGAGCTGCCTGAGGTAAGTCTGCACCCCAACCCCCTGCCCCAGCCCTGAGCCCCCCCAAACCCAGAGCCCACTCCTGCACCCCAAACCCCTCATCCCCAGCCTGAGCCCAGAGCCTGCACCTCCAGCCCAGAGCCCCTCCCACACCCCAAACCCCTCATCCCCAGCTCCGTTGGGTAACAGGCATCAACAATTTTCTTCAACTGGGTCGCTAGAAAAAAAGTTTGAAAACTACTGCTCTAAAGGATTTTATAGAGAGAGAATATATTATGCTAAGTATATAGATAATAGAATATATGCTAATAAGGGCTGACTTTCACCTTATTTAAATCTCACTTTTTAGCCATACCGGGGGGGAGGAGAATTATGAAAAGCATAGCCTTTATGGTGCCACAAGCCATAAACCATAAGAAACATCATTTTAGTGCTCATCCTGCCATGCGCTATGGGTGAGACATTTTTGCCCAATTCTATAAATGCACTCCAGTATACTGCCCCAGAAATCCACTGAGTAGTCCCCAGAAAGCCTCCGCTGTACTGAACCGGTAAATAAATTATCCAACTAGCAGTGTAGAAACAATGGCTAAAAAGTGTTACCACTTTCCCCAGTAATCCGGAAAGCGCCATCTTATCAGGGAGCAGGGAGATAAGGTGCCCTTTATCTGTGGTGATGGGAGCAAGGACAAAGCGCCTTGATATTCAGAAAGTGACTTTTAAAAGCGGGTCACTCGTCTGAGCTGGGACGAGAACAAGACACTCCTTAGAATGTGGATAAGGAGCAGTCCCAGATGAGTGTCAGGCAAGGCCTAACAGCTGGCAGAGATTGTTTTTTGACTAATAGAGCAGACAACGCCCAAGGGGGGGGGGGGGAGAGCAGTCCCCAGGTATGTATGTGTGTGTGTTTCAGGGGATTGTTGGGCAGGACTTGGCTGAAGGTACAGCCAGATAGTGTGGGTTGAGCAGGGCAGCCCCCAGGTGTGCGCGTTTGGGGCATGGGAGCTGGGCAGAAGGCACAGCTAGGTGGGGTTGTTCCAGTGGTGGTGATGGAGGAGGACTGCCCCCAGTTACGTGTGTGTTTGGAAGGTAGGGGGCTGGGCAGCAGTTAACTGAGGGCACAGCCAGCTAGGTGGATTGAGCAGCGCCAGAACAGCCCCCAGGTGTGTTTGGGGACGCGGGGGGCACAGCCAGGTGGGATGAGCAGGGCTGGGGGAGAGGGCAGCCCCCAGAGGTGTTTGGGGGTGTGGAGCTGGGCAGGTGGGTTTTAGCAGGTCAGGAGGGCCAGGGCAGCCCCCCGGAGCGTTTGGGGGTACAGGGTACAGCCAGGTGGGAGGAGCAAGGGAAGGAAAGGTAGCCCGCAGATGTGTTTGGGGAGCAGGGCCAGGGGTGGGGGGAGGGCAGGCTGAGCGGGGGAAGAGGGGAGCAGCTCCCAAGTGTGTTTGGTGGTGGAGAAGCTAGGGGGGTGGGACGGGAAAGGTCAGAAAAATGGCAGTCCTCAGGCATGTTTGGAGTGGGAGCTGGGAGGGTGGGATGAGCAGGGCTGGAGAGGCTGAGCAGGCCCCAGGTGTGGTTAAGCAGGGCTGGGCAGACCCCAGGTGTGGTGGGGGAGGGAGGGTTTTGAGCAGGGCTGGAGGGGCTGGGCAGGCCCCAGGTGTGGTTGGGGATCGGGGGAGGGCTGAGCAGGACTGGATGGGGAGGGGGGGTTGAGCAGGGCTAGAGGGGCTGGGCAGGCCCCAGGTGTGGTTGAGAAGGGGATGGGGGGGGGCACAGGCAGGTGGGATGAGCAGGGCCGGCTGGGCGTGGGGGTGGCAGGCCCGGTCGGGGGGAGCCGCAGGCCCGGGGGGGGTATTCGGAGGACCGGGCCGTGGGGGGAGCGATGCCGGGGCTCGGCAGGGCCTGGCCCTGCGGAAGGGGGCCCGAGCAGGAGGGGGAGTCTCCTTCCCGCCTCTCAGGGCGGGTCACTTCCGGGTGCGGGGGACAGGTGTGGCGGTGGCACCGGCCGGAAGCGCGCTGGGGGCAGCCGGGGGCGGTGCCGGAGGGGGTGGCTGCGCCCTGGCTGCGCAGCCGCGTATCCGCGCGCTAGGCTGGCCGGGCGTGCAGGCTCCGCAGCGGCCGGGCGGGAGCGCTGTGCGGGCGGAACGCGGTGCGCGGGCTGCGCGCTTCCGGGGGGCCGCGTTCTGGGTGACACCGCCCCTCCCGGTAACGGACACGGCCGGGCGAGGAGATGGCGGCGGCCTGGAGCGGCGGCTGCTGAGGGGCTGGAGCCGGGCGCGGAGCGGCCTGTGCGGGACCCGGAGCCATGGAGGGCGGCGGAGGCAGCGCGGGGAAGCCGAGCCTGCAGCTCGTGTACCAGGCGGTCCAGGCGCTGTACCACGACCCGGACCCGAGCGGCAAGGAGCGGGCGAGCTGCTGGCTGGGGGAGCTGCAGAGATCGGTGAGCGGAGCGGGCCGGGGGGGCTGCGGGGAGCGGGCCGGGCCGGGCCGGGCCGGGAGGGGGGGGAAC